TAAAGTTGTTTTGTATGTAAGGAAAACGTACAGAAAGTGTGTATAAATATGAAATAAAAACAGATGAGTGTGAGGCGATGTGTGGGTAGAAGTGTGAAGTCAGGCTAATGCAGTATACGAGCAATAATATTATAAGTATTTTACACACACACTTCAGAGAGAGGAGTATTTTACACACACACTTCAGAGAGAGGAGTATTTTACACACATACTTCAGAGAGAGGAGTCAGATTGACTTAATGAGAGCTGTTTGACTGACTTCTGCAGGCAGAGGTGGGAGAAGTACTCAGTAAAAGTAGACCCTGCAGTCAATATTAGGCTGGATTAGTTTGCTGGTTTAGAGGGGTTTTGGACACTTTGATTCTCAGTGATTCTCAAACTGTTTTCAATAATGTACCCCCTTTGAAAAAAGAATTCAGCCTTGTACCCCCTGATTTGTTAGGGGAAAAATGCCTATTTAAAGAGGTACAGTACAGCGCTGCACCATCAGTGTCTGCTGTATTAAAACAACAACATTGTAACTGAGAAACACTTAAATGCTACATTTAAAATGTTTACAATCCATCACTAAATTCATGTCAAACCAATTTTAACATCATGCAATAACACTAAGACGACATTAGTTGCATTGAACTGATCTTTTTAATAAGTTGTCCTTACAATGTAGTGAAACATGGGCTTGTGCTTCACTGAGGATCTTTGTCATTCTGACAGGGAGGCAAACTGCAGTTATTACACTTCGCGTTTTGAAATATGTGAAACTGTTAATATAAAACCCACACTGCTCAAACTTCCTTACTTTTCCTAAAATTGGAATATATATCAATTATTATTTTATTTTTTTCATTAACAAAATAAATCTCACGTACCCCCTGCAGTACTCCAACGTACCCCTAGGGGTCCGCGTACCCCCATTTGAGAACCACTGCTTTAGCTGTTCGGGATAGCTGGTTTAGCTGGTAAAAGCTGGTGGTCACAGTCTTCTAGCTGGTCACCATTAGCTGGTTTAGCTGGTGGTCACAGTCTTCTGGTCACCATTAGCTGGTTTAGCTGGTGGTCACAGTCTTCTAACTGGTCACCATTAGCTGGTTTAGCTGGTGGTCACAGTGTTCTAGCTGGTCACCATTAGCTGGTTTAGCTGGTGGTCACAGTGTTCTAGCTGGTCACCATTAGCTGGTTTAGCTGGTGGTCACAGTCTTCTAGCTGGTCACCATTAGCTGGTTTAGCTGGTGGTCACAGTCTTCTAGCTGGTCACCATTAGCTGGTTTAGCTGGTGGTCACAGTCTTCTAGCTGGTCACCATTAGCTGGTTTAGCTGGTGGTCACAGTCTTCTAGCTGGTCACCATTAGCTGGTTTAGCTGGTGGTCACAGTGGTCTAGCTGGTCACCATTAGCTGGTTTAGCTGGTGGTCACAGTCTTCTAACTGGTCACCATTAGCTGGTTTAGCTGGTGGTCACAATGGTCTAGCTGGTCACCATTAGCTGGTTTAGCTGGTGGTCACAGTCTTCTAGCTGTTCACCATTAGCTGGTTTAGCTGGTGGTCACAGTCTTCTAGCTGGTCACCATTAGCTGGTTTAGCTGGTGGTCACAGTCTTCTAGCTGGTCACCATTAGCTGGTTTAGCTGGTGGTCACAGTCTTCTAGCTGGTCACCATTAGCTGGTCAGACTGGTATGATCTTGAGTAGAACTTTAGCTGGGATTACTTGATGGTTAAGCTGGTCATATATGATGATGAAACACTCTCACCCAATTGCAGTAGCTCAATGAACATCTATCATTTCAGATCAGAGCACCTACCTTACCAGAAAGGTACCAGAATGTATAGAATGTATTGTCTGTACATAAATACTCATACATCAAATGATTAGAAGCAGGAACATCATTTATAACACACAATGAACATTAACACACATTTGAAAACATTTTCAAAACACCAATTACTGCATATTTGTAAGCAGTTTCCTTCAACTGTTTCTTTCCGCTTTTCACAAGGTCCTCTATTTTTTGTGAAATGTAGTAACCGGCCAACTTCCCCCTCTCGGTCTTCTCCACGTTTTGTGAATTCAGCCATCCTCTGAAGCGCTCTTGAAAAGAGAAAGGGAAAACAGATTAACTTTTAGCTTTGTTATGATTACTTAAATATGTGCACTGTGAGATGAAAAAGAAACATTTACTGTGATTGGTCTATTATCCACGCAATACAATCCTCGTGTACTGTGAACGGTTGGTGAGGTGATCCAGGAGGTGAGGTGGTGATTCACCCCAAGAGCTGCAGCTTGTCCCCCAGGAGTGGGGTCTGGATGGTGTTGAAGGCACGGAGAAATCAAAGAACATTACATTACATTGCATTTAGCTGACGCTTTTATCCAAAGCGACTTACAATAAGTACATTCGACCAACAAAATACAAACTTGAAGAAAACAGAATCATATAAGTACATCAGGTTTCATAGAGCCAAACATTTCAAGTGCTACTCAACTGGCTTTAGATAAGCCAGTCCTCTGTTAGTATAAAAGTGCTTTGTTAATAGTTCTATCGCTCAAAGTGGAGTCGAAAGAGATGAGTTTTCAGTCTGCGCCGGAAGGTGTGTAAGCTATCTGCTGTCCTGATGTCAATGGGGAGCTCATTCCACCATTTTGGAGCCAGGATAGCAAACCCACGTGTTTTTACTGATGGGAACTTGGGTCCCCCTCGCAGTGCGGGTGCAGCGAGCCGTTTGGCTGATGCAGAGCGGAGTGCACGTGCTGTGGTGTACGGTTTAACCATGTCCTGGATGTAGGAAGGGCCAGATCCATTCGCAGCATGGTACGCAAGTACCAGTGTCTTGAAGTGGATTCTAGCAGTTACTGGAAGCCAGTGAAGGGAGCGGAGGAGCAGAGTGGTGTGGGAACATTTAGGAAGGTTGAAGACCAGACGAGCCTCTGCATTCTGGATGAGCTGCAGAGGTCGGATGGCACATGATCCTCACAGAGCCCCGAGCCTTCTCCAGGTGGGAGAGGGACCTCTGCAGCAGGATACCAACCACCTATGTGTGATCCGGTTATGGATGGTCAAATTCATAATTTATTTATTTCAGCGATGAGTGTATCTGTTACATTTTAGGATTTTTTTTTGCTACTCTCTAAATGCGTCGTTCAGACACTTTACAAATAAGCCTTCATGTGATCCAGTACTTGAACGAGCCATCGGGTACTTGCAGTTTTGTACACTAAAACTATATCCATTAGAGAAAAAGTGACTTTGGACACTGTTGATAGTGTAGACATTATTGACCATTATAAGAGCAAAAACATCTGTGCATAAATAAAAATGAATTTTGACTGAATAGCATTCAGTGGCTCCAGTTTCAGGGTGTTGTGCATGTCGGTTCACAGTTACACTGACAATCACAGAGCTTCAGAATTCAGAGGTCAAAATGTGTGCTGTTAAATCCCTCTTTAGGCAACTAAAACACTAAATACTGCATTTATTTATCTTTGGTTATCTGGTTAGGCTTGCCAAATATTATCCTAGACATTTTTGTTGTTGTGTAAAACAAGCAATACAGAAATATTAAATCCGCTAATTGTAAATGATAAGGTCACCCTACATTGATAAAAGATAAAATAATAAAATACACTGGCGTACCGCAGACTGTATAGTTAGTACGCAGTGTTTGATGGCTGTTTGTTTGAGTAGAGCTGGTCCTCTGGTTGGCTCAACATGAAGCTGAGTGGTTTGCACACACCTGGACCTCACCCAACTGTGTGTAAGCTCAGCAGTCTGAATCACTGGCACACAAACTGACCCTGACTCTTACCACACAAATTCTTCTTGGATTTGCTTTTAATAAAACTTCACAACTGAATTAGTTTTTTTATTTACGGTTTGATCAGCATTTACTTTGAGGGTTTGGTACTGGGAACAGAACAGATTAAAGGTTATACACCCATTTGATCTGTGTCGACCTGTAGCTGATAGCACTTGTTTAGCATGTGTTCTATAGTCACAGGGGGGGGGGGGGGTAGACACAGTTAATTCCTATGAATAACTCTCGTTTCCTGTGTCCTGTGCAGTTGTTACTGAACTATCAGCGGTGGCGCAGGGAGAGTCCTGAGATCAGCCGCTGTCTGTCCCCCTCCTCTGTGCTCGGCCTCCTCAACACAACATACCACGCTGTCCTCCCCCAGCGGGACCACAGCGGCAGCAGGGTGCTCATCTACAGGATCGGTCAGTAAACCTGTGTTCTTTGTGTGGATATATATGTGTGTATATATTGGCTTTGCTAACACATTCCAATATAAGGTGATATATTCATATATATACTTATGTTCCTGTTGATACGTGTTGTAACCAGAGCTTACTGCTACATCCTGCGTAGAGCTACAGACTGATGCAATGTGAATGAAGACAGAGTACAGTGGTTTCTGTTTGCAGGACAGTGGGACCCAAAAGACTGGTTGGCCTTCCAGGTGTTCAGTGTCAGCCTGATGACATCAGAGATCATCTCCATGGAAACGGAGACACAGACGCAGGGTCTGAAGGCCATTTTTGACCTGCAGGGATGGAGTTTAGGCCACGCTCTGCAGGTTAACCCTTCCCTGGCCAGAAAGATTTCCTCTGTGCTTTCGGTAGGCCAAGCATCCTGTTTCAGGTCAGCTTTATGTGAACACAACTCTTACTATGTGCTGTGAAGCTGGACACACAACTCTACATATGCTAAGGTGCAATGCGGCATCCATAATAAAACATTATACTATATAAACTCTTTATTACAGAAAGGAGAACTCGAGGTCTCCACTAACCTCCTCATGACTGCATGTTGCACACAGGAAGGTTATTTCTGTAACGTTCCTGCGTAAGTTAGGAACACAGCTAAACAACACAGCACATTGTTAGTCAATATGTTTGTTAGTTAGCTACAGTTTCAGAGTGGAATTCACTAATACTGCACTGTGGTAGATATATGGACAGCTGTGGCATTACAGGTGCATCTGTACTGAGTATGCTACTTCTGATCAAACAGCGGTGTGGACCGCAACATTCCCAGCTCTCAGTCCTGGCTCTCAGCAGCATTTAGCACTTAGCGCTACTTTAGCAACAAGTAAAGAAAGCAGAATTGTTTCCCCCCAAAGTTAAACAAGTTTCAATAAATGATCTTGGTGCTGTGAAACCTTCTTTGCTCCAAGAGGCTTCAACATAACGAAGTATAGGAATGAGTCCTTTAGTTCAGCCTTATCTTCCTCCCCTTTGAGCATTATTATTAGATCGGCCGGTAGAAAGATGATTTTTTAATTTTATTTAATGATTGCTTAGAAATATTGTTTATTGAAATAGCTGGACAGCTTCAGTGTTCACAAGTTCAATTTGTTCACATTTTTACAGACTGTGTTTAACTTTTCTTTTTCAAGTCTAAGAGCGTTATATTGTTTCTACACCTGTCCTTGTATGTGTGTGTTTGCATGTCCAGGACTCTTTTCCACTGAAAGTCCGAGGTATCCATCTGGTGAACGAGCCAATGTTCTTCCGGCCCGTGTTCGCCATGATCCGCCCTTTCCTGCCGGATAAGATCCGAAAGAGGGTCAGCCACCTGTCACACACACATCACCTGTCTCTGTTCTCACACTCACACACACCGTGTTGAATCAGGTTCCCTCTCCCCCACTGCAGATCCATATGCACGGTGCTGATTTCCAGGACACTTTAAGCGACTTCTTCTCACCTTCTGTCCTGCCTCCAGAATATGGAGGGGAGGGGCCTGGCATAGAGGGGGTGTGTCAGGCCTGGACCAATCAGCTGCTTCAATCAGAGAAGCTTCTGCAGCAGATTGCCGCCCACCCAACAGGTGACATCACCATCCCTCCTGAGGACTGCTGGATCTCAGAGACAGTGGAGGCGGAGCAACTGTTAGAGGGATGATGTTTGGAGTGATGGCCCACAGGACTCACATACACACCCACACACACACACCCACACACACACACACACACACACACACACACACACACACACACACACACACACACACACACACACACACACACACACACACACACACACACACACACACCACACACACACACACACACTTTCCATTTATGTTAGAATATTTGTAGGATTAATATATGCCATATTCCCAGGTACATTGAAATGTGAATGTGCTGTTAACACTGAGATTAAAAACATGTTCTTAAGACCTAAAATATGGAATGCCGTTTAGTGAATTTTGGCTTAAACGGCATTCCATACTAAAAGAGGTTGTTAATAATCAGTGGCGAACCGTGTCCATCACAACTGGACCGTAGACACACACAACCAGAACAATATCTGATTGGTTGCATTTTGTTTTCAATACAAAACCACTCAAATGCGTCGTGCATGTAATATTTCATATCAACAACACAGATACGATTCTCATTTATTCATTTTATTTACATTTTATAAAATTGTATGTATATAATTAAATCGATTTTGATTTATCTGAGTGTTTCAGGGTGTTCTCTGAATACCTTGAAGGCCCTGACGGTTCATCACTGTTAAAAACAGAATGTGTATTTATTCACCTCGCCCTTTTTAAAAACAGAATGAATGTATTTTTAATGTGCTTGCTTCTTTCAGAGCACGTACAATTTAAAAGACTTAAAAGGGACATAAAGGAAAAGTTATTGCGTTCTCATGTGGTTACGCATTTGAACAGTTTTGACACAACATGATTGGTAAGCAATCATCAACCCTTTGTTCCTGTGAGGTTTGTGCACATTAAAGCGTCAATGAAATAAATGTTTTGAATGTTGTGAATGAATGTGTAGCATGTGCTCAGCCTGACCACTGTGTTTTAGAGGTGTGGCCCTCGCCTCGCCTCTGCCTGATGTGAACTATTGCATTGCATTACATTGCAACATCTTTCAACTTTTAAAATGTACAAAAAAGTATCGTGGCAAAATCAACATGTAGCTATGTTTGAGGAAGTGGTGCGGTGTGGCGCAGTGCGCTGTGCAATGATCATCAGATCAAGGGGTGAAACCCGCCGCTGCTGCGTCTGTAAAGCCATTGTGTCCTTGGGCAAGACACTTCACCTGAACTTGCTCCTGTGGGTATTGTCCACAGTGGTGACCATTGCATGTATGATATGTGTAATGTGTGTTTGTAAAGCGCTTTGAGCATCTGGAAAAGCGCTATAATAAATGTAAGGAATTATTATTATTATTATTATTATTTATATGTCCGTAACACATAGGTATCTTTTCTATTCAAGTGAAGGGTTCTAAGTTGAAATATCTACTGGTCATGTTAATGTGTCAGCAGATTCAACTTGTAGCATTGAGCAAGAAGCAGCGGGCTTGAGATGACAGACATGAAGCCTTAGATGCCCTTAGAGTGACTGGACCCACTCTTCCATAAGTGGGTCAAAAAGGACCCGTATTAAAATAATATGGGTTTTTATGCAATTTTTGTCATTTTGGTTAATACAAATCACTTGTATAATATTTAGTATTATATTTTGCTTCACACTAGAAATATTTTATATTACATTTTTCACTATTTATAATTTTATAATTTTTTTTTACATTTTGAAAAAAAACGTTTTGAACATATCGATGCAAAGATCTCCGCTATTCTGAGACCCTCATAGTATTCCAGTCCCTTTTCAAAACTCATCTCTTCTCCTCTTGTCTACTCATAGCCCCCCCCCCCCATCAATCCATGCCGGTTGATCAAGTTTGATAGTCCTATACCCCTATACAAATATAATGTATTATTATTATTACACTGACAGGTATCAGATCTTGCTGTGTAAAATAATCTTCCTGAGAGGTGTCACTTGTGTAGTCTGTGTGGTCCACAGTGAATGTAGTCCTGACAGCCACAGGTGATAAGAATCAAAGGTTCCCATAGGATGCTTGTCTAGCTGACATCTCTCAGTGGATGTCTGCTCATCACCTCAAGCTCAACCTTGACAAGACTGAGCTGCTCTTCCTCCCGGGAAAAGATTGTCCCACTCTTGACCTAACAATCAACATCGGCACCTCAGTTGTTTCCCCGACTCAGACTGCAAGGAATCTGGGTGTGACCCTAGATAACAACCTGTCCTTCACTGCAAACATCGCTGCTACAACCCGTTGCTGCAGATACACGCTTTACAACATCAGGAAGATACGTCCCCAGCTGACACAGAAAGCGACTCAGGTTCTGGTCCAGACTCTCGTCATCTCACGCCTAGACTACTGCAACTCCCTCCTGGCTGGTCTACCTGCATGTGCCATCCGACCTCTGCAGCTCATCCAGAATGCAGCGGCTCGTCTGGTCTTCAACCTTCCTAAATTCTCCCACACCACTCCGCTCCTCCGCTCCCTTCACTGGCTTCCGGTAACTACTAGAATCCACTTCAAGACACTGGTACTTGCGTACCATGCTGCGAATGGATCTGGCCCTTCCTACATCCAGGACATGGTTAAACCGTACACCCCAGCGCATGCACTCCGCTCTGCATCAGCCAAACGACTCGTTGCGCCCTCGCTGCGAAGGGGACCCAAGTTCCCATCAGCAAAAACACGTGGGTTTGCTATCCTGGCTCCAAAATGGTGGAATGAGCTCCCCATTGACATCAGGACAGCAGAAAGCCTGCACAAAAAAAGCCTCTATAATCAGTTTTATAAAGTCATACGTGTTGGGGAAATATTGTCCAAGGCCCATAACTTTGACCCAGTTTATCAGTTCAAACTGTCCTGACTGAGCTCACGCACCTGTAACCTTGGCTGCTGTGCTCTCAGTGTCTCCCTGTTCCTGCCTGTTGGCATCAGCTGATAGAGGTGTTATCATTCTATCTTGTTATGCAGCATGTTGATGATTCTCTCTGAACTAGCTAAACACACGGGTCTGGGGTAGAGTTCTTCAGTATTGACGTGGCAACTCTACCGTGAAGTCAGAACCTCTGGCTCTTGGACTTGTTTTGTGGCCGAAGCTCCAAATAAACTAGGGGTGCACCGAATGGGAAATTCTTGGCCAAAACCGATACCGAAAATAGGAAACAGTTGGCCGAAAGCCGAATGCCGAAAGGCCGAAAATGATTAATAGAAATATATATATATAATGTATACATTTTTTACCAATGTTGTTCAGCTACCTGATTATGGAAATAGACATGATTATGGCAAAACTTAACTTAAATAATAATCACTATTATGGGTCCATAAAACATTTATTCAGCACTTTTGAATGCATACAGTACATTTATATATGTCATGTATTATTGCTAAAAAACATTATATCGCAGTCTTAGTGTTGCCAACTCGTTTCTAATATGCAAAGACAACAAATGCGTCTATGATGTATTTTCGATCAGACGAGATCTCTCTCCCGTCTGTGTGCGAGGGGGCGGGGCAGTTTACACACACGCAGCTGCTACATGCAGCGGAGCACACTGCGGAGATGGCGGAGAGAACGCGCTCCGAGGTGTGGTTAAACTTTACCCGTCTCGATGTGGAGAATACTTGTTACCATAAGTGCAATAAGAGTTTAGCATGTAAGCACGAGCAATTTGTCTAAACATTTAGTGCACCGCATGCAGACGGAGGAATGTACCGGGTTCGACCGTCTTTCTAGCAGCTCTGTAGCCCCATCCACGAGTAACGTTTCCACGTCAGGTGTTATGTATGCTAGCAGCAACACACGGAGTTAACTACATGATACAAACATGGGTTAATGATTAGAGGAAACTGAGTTATTTAGTTTGTTAAAATTTCAGCTATTCTGTTTACAGTCTGTCATCAGATTAGTTAATACGATTTGTTAAAGGCTCAGGGCAATCTCGATGACAAAGGTCAATGCCCCCCCCCCCCCCCCCCCCTGTGAGCTAGCCGCGAGCATGGTCGCCGCGTCTTTATTACGTCATCACAACAACACGTTAGGTTACCAACGTAAGCCTGTTCTGACATTCGGTGATATTTTTTCGGTGCTAAAACCCTTTCGGCCGAAAGCCGAAAGGGCCTTTTTAACCATTTTCGGCCGATAATTTTCGGTGGCCGAATATTCGGTGCATCCCTAAAATAAACCCATCAGTGTTTGCCATCAAAGCTCCAGCTCTCCCCGTGTCTCCTTTGAGTTGTTGACTCCTCCTGCATTGCTACACAGAAGTTTCCCCCACAATACGGTTTACTTTCCTCACCTTTGCTGTTCCCTTTGTTTCTGCCCCCCCCTCTCCTCTGCTCTCTGTGCACGCTCACTGCAGACCTTTGACCAGAGAGCAGCACACATCCAGCACGTCGTCTAGCTTCACTATGGACCGCATGTGCACTGAGAAACTTTCATCACAAACCTTCTGATTCATTCTTCTCCACTTTCTAAACTCAAAGGAACTCATGTGTTGTTCAGTATTGCAGAAATACTGCTTCCATCCTCTGTCCAACTGTGCAATACTGCTGGGTTTACATTACACCACCTACAACACCACTCCCAAAAGGGTGCTGAACAGAGAAGCGTAGTGCTGGTGAAGTCACAGGAACAGCAGGCGGCGGTGAAAGATTAGTCTGAATAAATCATCCAGGTGGAAGGAGTCGGTTGTTCGTCTCAGTAGCAACCTGTTAGTCAAATCCATAACCAACTCTTTTTGACTCAACACGGCATGAGAAAAAGAAAACCAAATAAAGAGTTTTTAACTTATACTCAGGCGATTTTTAGAGTGCCAGCCTGTAACTTCTGTGTGTTTGAACAGCTTGCTGAGTGAGTGCACACACACCGTTAATCATTAGACACAGTGCTGACCTGTGTACACGTATTGGTTTGAAGTGACATGCATTGTCTCTTAACAAGAATACATAATGAACAGATGTATTTCCCTGCATACAGCCTGAGAGGCTGCCTCCTGCCCTGCTTCACCTCTGTTCCGCTCTCATGTGTAGACCCTCTGAGAGCGAAGCCCTCGTACAGGTTCTGGACTCTCAGATACTTCACATGGAGATGGAAAATAAAAGAGGTGTAAACCACAGCTTCACATAATATCACATGTGAAACAGCAGTATGCGCATGTGTGATGAGGTCTCATGGAGAGATGTTGTTTGTGGAGACATGATTTAGTTATCTCTAACAGACTGGAGGGATTTGATTAGTAACTCTTATCTATTGATTTGATGCAAACAGACTTGATGAAATCTACAATCCACAGCTTCCTGTTTGCACACAGCTCTCTGTGGGGCACTCACTGATGCACTTTATGAAAGAAGGTTTGCACAAACCACTTGATATAACCACCAAATCCCTGTTTTAAAACAATTTCACTCATTCCTCGTTTGAAAGCGATGTATTTGCAGAGTTATTCATCATAAGTAGTAATACGATAGCAAGTCCCATTAATACAGCTCCAAACATGTTTGAGGTTAACAGATACAGCATACATTAGCATTGGCATAGCAGACATTCACTTTAAAAGGAAATGCTTTAAGATTTGAAATCAAAGGTTTAAAATCCAAAACAAACAAATAAATCATCTCTAGAAGTTCACATGTTTAAATGTCCTTTTGTCAAAAATAAAAGCTTTTGTTTTTTTGACCGGATAGTTGGAAGATTGGACCCGATCAGATTATAGTCTTTAAATAGGAATGTGGACATTTATTTATTAATTGAAGTCCCATTTTCTTTCATATTTATGATACAAAATATCTTATATAATAATACATACACACACACACACACACACACACACACACACACACACACACACACACACACACACACACACACACACACACACACACACACACACACACACACACACACACACACACACACACACACACACACACACACACACACACACACACACACACACACACACACACACACACACACACACACACAGTGATGGCTGGAGAACAGGCCACAGTTACACAGTGCTTTGTATGAATCAGGTCAGCGGGGGGCACCGCAGAGCTGCGGGACCACTCAACTCATCTCACAAATAAAATGTGTGAACCATTTCACCGACACAAGCCATCTTGCCTCACTTCACTCTGCCATGCTGGGAGTTGAACCACCAACCCTCTGTTTGTTAGGCATCCATTTTACCCCCTCAATTAGAAAAAAGTAGTAGTATTATGAATCTGTGAATCTGAAAAAACATAATGATTTGTGACGTTTCCATCCAATGTACAAAGAAATAAAAGTACATATTCCAGTCAAATTTCACAGCATTGGCTTCTACGTTT